GCCAGCCACCAAAACAATCTATGGATCGGTCTCCAACTAGCCCAATTGATCCCGGAGACCTAGCCACTGAGTGCTGCGCCGGCCCCACTGCCCGTTGCTCCATTTCCGTGCTTTCCAGCCACGCCAAAGTTTGCCCTTCCAGCCACCGCTGCACTCCGCACCAGTGCTCCATGCAAATTATGTGTTTGAATTGTAGTTTGTATTTTAGTAACTTTCTCATGGCATCCTTTCTCATGGCATCCTAATAACTATTGTGGGACATATCTCTTGTGCATTTTTATATGTTCTACTCTTTGGCTCATACCCTTCATGAATACTTACTTAATCAGTGTATGAATTATAGTGCCAACACTTCTCTAGGCTAAGCTATATCACTGCAATTGATCAAGTGCTGACAACAAATTGCTTTATCTGGTTAATTCTAGTAAAATGAGAAGACGCCTTAATTGAAGTATTACCATTAATATGCACTCTTTCTATACTTACTTATGCAATGCATGTAAAATTTCCAATATTGCACTCACTATCGGAATTGGCTGGTATGTCGAGTGCCCGACGATTTGCCATGTGCATTCTGTCAGGCAGTCGGCAAAGCCAAGTGAATATAAAATATACTCGGCAAAACCAAAAGACTCGGCGAAGCCCTGCTTTTGCAAGTGTGCAGCAGAAAAGAACTTGGGAAAAGCTGCGCCCTCAGGCAGAGGCACACTATGCCGATTGTCCTATGGACGGCACTCAGCAAACAAAAATGACACATTTACACTGTATGCAACATTATAAATACCCGGCAAAACCAAAACACTTGGCGAAGCCCTGCCTTTGCGAGTGTGCAGCAGAAAAAACTTGGCAATAGCCTGGCCCTCAGGCAAAGCCAATCTATGCTGAGTGTCCTATGGACGGCACTGGGCAAACAGAATTGACATGTGCACGCTGCATGCAACATTAAAAATGCATTCTGGTGCTAAAATTGCACTTTCGATGCCATGCCAACAGGAATTCTGATGCTAATAGTATTTTTAGCAACGTCAGGAGCTCAGGATCTTTCTATTCTCCTCTGGTCATACTGCTCATGAAGAAATCAATAAGCCATTTTGTCCACAAACAAGATATGACGGAGAAAAGAAATGTTTGAGAAAATGATGCAAGGAGGAACAAATGCCAACTTATAGATTTAATAAGCCTAGGGAGTCCATGCCAGAAAATGTGACTAGTGTCAGAAAGAAAACTATCTTTTTTTATAGGATTATTAAGGAGCAGAGCTAGCGATTTCAATGATAAAATCAGATCAGTACAGGAAGCACGGGACCAGCCAAGGATGAAGCTACATCATGAAGCTACTACTACTATAAATTAGGGCACATCGTCGACAGCAAGACACATGACTGACCGGAACTACACATTGGATGAAGAGACAAAACAGATATAATGCAACCAAGTCATCAGCAATTCTACAGGTGCAACACCCCAAGAGACCAGCCAGAAGCTGCAGCAACTTGTGCCCAGCAAATAGCCAATCCAGCATCTTGGCATTCTGCAGTCAAGTCCTTATCATGGAGGTAGCAGCATGACATTTGAGGTCGAGCAAGTCATGAAGGCCTACGAGTTAGGTTTCGCGGAAATGATCTAGTTGATCTTTAACTTTTGGGTAGGGATTGAGGAGAACCTCAGCAAGACTCAAAGGTCCTTCATGAATGATACCACTTTCAGTTCCAGGGCAATATACAGGCACATGGGAGACAGTGAGGAATTTTTTCTCGCCATTGCCAAGGTCACACCAGGCATATATCCTATCAATACTGAATACAGTACAAAAAGTGCTGTAGATGCAGTTGCGCTTGATGGAAGGAAGCTTATCTGCATCGACTACCATGCAGTTGCCATGACTTAGGAAGAGCGCACTGCTGCCGAGACTTTTAATTGGTTCAAGTAGCTTCCTCTCGACATCGATGCTGAAAACTTCAATGGTTTCAAGTTGCTCTTTAACAAGCAGCAGCTTACTGGTTGCCTCAACAAGAGCAACAATGTATTTCATGTCAATGTCCAATATTCGCTCGGCATACCAGTGCTCACCAGTCCAAACGATCTTGCATAAGGTTCCTCCGGAACTGAGAACATAAACATTGCCTGCATATGTGACCATGCTCTGCAGGTAGAACAGGCCTGCCTTCTTCAAAGCAGCATCATGAAGCTTCACCACACGGAGCTGGCCCGTGGGATCAGCAGAGTAAAGCGCGATACCAGACTGAAGATATTTGGATCCATGTTGGGAAGAGAAGATGATCGTTGGCTCAGAGCTAGTGACTGCCGTATCCACCCAAGGTTCCGAAGGTATCGGCGCCCAAGGTTCCCGAGGTATCGGCGCCGCAAACGGAAGCATGTCACCAGTCAATGGGTTGAGGAGACGAGCGGCATGCGGGGGGTCCGTGTCCCCCAGCACGAGGAGACCGTCAGACGCACCGACGAGGATGTAGTCACGGAGCACCGGGCGGCGCAGGCGGCGGAAGCGCCCCGTGGTGACGTTGAGGAAGAGGGGCCGGCCTTGGTCGTCGTCTGCCTCGTTGAGCAAGACCCACTGCCGTGGGCGGAAACGGAGGTCGGCGACCGCGGCGTGCGGAGATGGCTTGGCGACGGCAGAGCGCCAGGTGGGGCAGACGGCCCTCATGGCCATGTACTCGTCGACGCCGCTGGTGGTGAGGATGCAGTCGGCGATGTGCTGGACAAGGTCCGGCTGAAGCGACGCCCATTGGGCCGTGATGGATGGATCATAGGGCCGCCGCTTCTGGCTGCTGCAGCCGCCCTCCTCCTCCATGGCCGTGCCACCGATGCCGTCGTCCTCGACAAACACCTCGCCGACTCCCACCGCGTCGCCAATGCTTAGGGTTTGGATTCGATTGAGGAGGCTGGATTTGAGGATTTGGGGGAAAAAGGAAGGCTTTGGCGTCACCGATGCTTAGGGTTTGGCTTGGAGTGAGGCTGGATTTGGGGATTTGGGGGAGAGGGCGGCGGCTGGATAGGAGAGAAGCTCATAGGTGAGGGCCACTGGGGGTCTGGTGCGGTTGGGCTTGGGCTCGCGGAAATACTTGCAGGCCTTAAAATATGTGCAGCCCTAGGGCTCGTTACAGATTGTATTTTTTTTAATCCTCAAAAAAAAAGATTGTATTTCTTTTAACTATACAACAGATTGGGATTCCCTAAAAAAAGATTGGAACTTAAATCCAGTAGGTTCCATTGCAAAAAATATTTTTTTTGAGGAAAGGCCAAAGCGAATATATTGACCAACAATAGGGATTACAATATATGTCTTCTGTATATACCATCTGAGTGTATGTGTGTGAATCTGTGTGTATGTGTGTCTATGTTGTAATCGATGTTTCTAAAAAAAATCTCAAAGGAGCAGCGGTAATGTACACTAGAAAATAACCTGCAAAGAAGAAGCATTTTTGTCATTAAAAACCAAATCATTTCTACATAACCAAAGCCACTAAATTAAGGCATACGCTCCCACCCTTATTAGTGTTTTGTATGCCCCCACCCTTATTAGCGTTTTGAACCTGTTTGGAATACCGTCCAACCAATGACCCAAAATATTTGCAACACTTGTGGGCAGATGCGGACTTGATACTATTTGGATGACTAACCACGTAATTGTTGCGTCATGAATACAAAACAACACTTCTTACTCCCTTGCCAGTTGTGTCGTGTGAGGTTGTCTTTGGTTAATACAATCCCCTACGAAGATACCGAATGAAGATTTTCACTTTTAGTGGAATCCTGGACTTCCAAAATTTCTTGTTATTACTCATCGATACCTCAAAATGTGTGAGGCACGATACATAGGGTCTATAGTGAAGGCCTTGATGTAGTAAGGTTCCAGCGAAACACATCCTAACCTTGTGTCAGGTTAACCGAATCGAGTCGGATAAAAGATTATGCCATGACACAAGTCGGGGGCCAATTAAATCCTGCCTGAACGAAGTATTCGACGGGGATGAACTGAGCACCTGCGCAATGGTATTATTCTTATCGCGAGCAATGTTGTATAAAATTGAATGTTGTTCTTGGAGACTGGCATTGCCTAGCCAAATGTCTTCCCAAATCGAATATTTGACCCGTCCTTTATCGCGAAAGACCTAAAGCAAAAGAGATGTTTCTTTGCCGCCATAAGGCCAGCCCAAGAAGTGTGAGCCTGGTCCTATTCTTTTGAAGAATACTAGTGGCTGGAGCGCACCTCCTTTGCATGCTTGTGTGTTGCCATCTAGTCACACACCCATCATTGCCTATCTTGGGCGTTTGGCCTCCTACAGGTCCGACGAGCTCATCTGGAGTGGTGTTCTGCAAGTAACATGTGTGTGATAACCGGACAAAATAAGTGCCCAAAATCAAGGAGAGTCAATCCTCCTGTCGGTTTCTTTGAGAACCAACATAAGTCTCGGGGGCTACTGGATATTCGCGTATCTTTGATTTGAGAAACTTTCCGGCATCAAGATTGTGATGCTTGGATGACCCTCAAATCAGTTTTTAAAACTAAGTTAAGACTCAGGGGCTACTGTGAATCGCAGTTTCTTTAAAAGAGGCCAACATACCGTTCGTCATCATCCTCTGCTAAAAGCTATACTTCAGAGAAATATGTAGTCTTAAACTATGATTTTCCCTGATTCTATGGTGCCCTCAGATATTGGGAACTGATGCATGCCTTGATGGCTACTGGGGATATTGACAGGCTTGGAATAAAAAAAGGACAGGTAAAAAAAGGGCCGTACCTCCATACATCTGGCGAGACAGATGAACATGTCCATGACCCCGACCTTGATAGACCGAAATTCACCCAAGGCGGCATGGAGTCGGGTGCGCGCACTGGTTGGCAAGGACGGTTGAGCTCGCCAAAGCTGACTTCACCACTTGGCGGCGCCGGGGACTTTGGCACACCATCATCCACCGTCAGGGGCGGAGCCAGAAAATTTGGCCAATGGGTTCACTCGTTAAGTCATTGTGACAATTTTGTATGACTTAAATAAGTGTAAAGCTAAATTCGTATCATTTTACTACTAGAGTATAACGCTCAAAGACAGCATACTATATTAAAAAAATACAATATCACATATAGTTATTGCATTAAAACGGGAGAGTACAAGACATAATTGTTGGACAAAGTTATAAAATCACTTGTTTACTTATTGTTATAGAGTAGTACCAAAATAGTTTTATAGATTTGGGTGCAACTTCTGATCTTCTGAAGACAGCGAAAAAATGACAAGTCACTTTGATATTTATAAAATAAGTACCATAAAAATTAAGGAGAATGGAAAGTCACTCACATTTCAGAGAAAACATATCATCATTATTAATGGTAGCTAAAAGAAACATATCCCCACCGTTCCTAAATATAAGCCCTTTTTAGAGATTCCAATATGGACTACATACTAAGGAAAATGAATGAATTCCACTCTAAAATATGTGATGTAGTCCCTAGGGAAATTTCTAAAAAGGCTTATATTTAGAAACAGAGGGAGTATCTTTCTTCACATGGAAATTAAATGATCACTCATGAATTAATTTATTCTACAATTGTTCCTTAATACCATTCATAATTGAAAAGCATATGCCCACATATGTTGTGGCAGCAAGCAATATCAGTACTAGTTTCAGAGGTTTATACACCAAAGAAAAGTAATATGATTATCTGTGTGCATGAGTAATTGAGCAAGATCAATACTCCTGTGCAAATTGACGAACTTGTCATGTACTAACACATTGTTGATATAAGTGTAAAGTTCAAGACCAAGATCATTCATTTTTGTAAAATCAAAATTATATAATATAGTGTGTCTCTGGATAGAAAGTTTGGGAGAATACCTTCAACAACAAGCATTTGGACTTTACTTACAGTGCCCTTGAAGTCATTATCTGAATTTGGTGGTATATTTCTCTTTTATGGAGTATCGCTCCATAACCTAGATTAGTTCAGGAAAAGGCAATTAAAAATTAGGGCAAAATCCATTGCCGAAATAAGCTACTAGATTAGATTAGATTAGACATATGCAAAGAAGAGAGAAGCAGTGGTGATCTAATCTTCCATACCTCAAATTTGGTTTCGGACATGCCGCTGCTGGCGGTGACTCTGGCAATCGATCAGCGAGCGAACAAACAGGTCGCCAGGGGGACAAGAGACAAGATCGATGGGGGAGTTGCGGCGGCCCGCTGGATATGTACGTACAGACCTGGGATATCTACATCAATTAATCAAGGTTATTTTTAGGCTTCTGGGCTGGGCTAATCAAGTTAGAATATTTTTAATGGGCTAAAAGACTTTGCTTGTGCGCTGTAGCTACTTTCCGATGGGTTCAGCCTTAAAAAATTATTGGGTTCATAATAGTCAGTACCTGTGGACATATATGCGGCAGAGAAAACTCGTTGGGTTCAGTTGAACCCAACGGCTGTACGCTGCCTCCGCCGCTGTCCACCGTAGGAGGCCGTTGACTGCCCATGTGGGTTTCGGAGAGATATTATTATTTTGAAGTAGTTATTTGATTCATTTCATGATTTCCACGTGGGTTATAGCTTTGACATGATTTTCTTAATGCGGTAGAAATGATATTAAACATAATTGGCGTAGTTTCAATTTCATAGCTAAGAATGTGCACATGATATTTTAGCTGTGAGTTTACAAATGTTTTGTTTTTTAGGGGTTTATAAATATATTGTTATAGATATTATTGAGGCACTTTCCTAATTGTTTTATAAATGTACTAGTTTACAAATGTACTTTCTTTTTTTAGACAAACGAATGTATTTGCTACAGTTATTATTTTCCAAAGGAAAAATAGGCGTGAGCCCATTGGGTCGGCCGAGTTGGGGTTCGGTCCAGCCCCAGTTGGCGGGCCCTTGTATGCAAACAGCTGGCCTCGCTTGTCGCGCTCTGGTCTCCCCTCTGCACACCGTCTCCACCGTACCCCCGATTTCTTCCGATGCCCGCCCTCCGCCCTCCGCCGGCCGTCTCCCGCACCACCCTTCCGGCCCCACCCGTGGCTCCGGCGGCTATCCTAGATTCCTTCGTGTGAGTGTTCTTCAATTCCTTCCGGTTAATCCCAAATTTCATTCTTGAAATATCTTCGCCCTTGGTCAGGCAAGCCAACAGCGAAGGGAACCAACTTGGAAAGCAGATCGGCACCGGCAGCTCCGGCGAGCGCAGTTGCTGGGTACGTGCCTTCTCTTTCTTCATTTCTTTCCTACCGGTTTGGAAGAGGTCTATTCATCCTCCTATTCCGACTACTTGAGTTAGTATTGAATCCGATTCGGTGCAGATATAGAGCCTCGACCGAGCATAAATATGGAGACTCTAAATATGAGCCCAAGACTACTCGCATGTGGTCATTCATTCTGATTGCCTCTCAGTGATTCAAAGGTTGCGATCTTCGGCCCAGGACTAGTCCATGGTGGGATCGATCATTTCTGACATCAAGACGGCCAGCGGAGATCTGTCGTCCATGTCTTTCCAGCATGTTCGTCGGCACCCGTGTTATCTTAGCTCATGTTCTAGCTAGGTCTAATTTGAACTCTTTGAGTCTTTGTTTTTATCACTCTCCTTCGGATTGCATCCGGGAGACTCTTTGTAATATGTTTGCATGATTAATAAAGGCCGACGTTCTCTCAAAAAGAAAGGAACACAGGAACTCCCGCTTGTGCGGACATGGCTATTGACTTGAAACAATGTTTTTGCTGGATAATAGGCATCGCAGAACATTATTAACTATCATCAACGAGACACCTAAGACATATTTTGAAACTTCAAAACACTTTTTTTAAAAGGGA